GGTCGGATTATTAGGCATGGTTTTGCTAATAATCAATGTTAGGTAGGGCATCATCTCATACTGATATTAGCTCTATTGTAGCTACCCCTTGCACCCACATTCGTTTCTCTCTCGTCAAAGTTAGGCTTGTGTAAGGTTCGATTAGGTTGCTCTTGATTTTGTGTTAGGTTTAACATAATTCTTTAGGTTGCTGGCCGGCGAATTATTTCCATCGATTTCCTTGTAGGACTTAGCTCGGCCATTAGGGCTAAGTTAGGGGCGTTAGGGATACGAGTGTGGGACCATGTGAGGCTCTAAATCAAACTATACCATATAGTTTATAGAGATGATATTGACGGACTTGCTTAGAGACTTAGACTTTGAATTTGTGCTAGGATATGGCTGATAGGATGGAGTTAGGGAATTGTTTTGAAAGTGTGTGATAGTGTGTGTTTGTATGTGTGTATATATTTATGTTTGACTGTCAACACATGCATGTGTTGAAGTCAAAGACATTGGTATGGAGCTGTCATGTTGTGTTTTTGCTGATGCTTCACTACTAATGATCTCTCTATTTTTCTGTAAGGTGGTATGGCAATGGCTATTCTATGCATAGAACGCCATTTGTATGGAGGATGTTGGCTCTCTGATACGGCGGTACGAATAATAAGTGTGTAGGTGTAGGATTCGATCTAATCTTTTTTTTAAAAGTAATTGTCATTAAGTTTTAATAAATTTCGTATTAAATTCTAATGGTTACATTCATATTTTGTATTTGATTGGTTGTAACGTTGCACAAAAGAGTCTGTTAGTTAAGGGAATTTTACTCTTTCCTTTTTCCTTTTTCCGTTTTCCGCACTGTTGCGGTGGTGGCCAAGTACTAATAATAACCCAACCCCTCTAATGTTAACCCCGAAATTCCCGAAACTAACAGAAGCTTTTATTTTCCAATTCTTTCCCTTGGACGTTTATCTGCTTTCCTTGGTCGTTTATTTGGTTGCCCTGGACGAAGAATGTAACCACTTCTTTAAAGATAGGACTTTTTGCTAAGTGTTAGGGTATAGGGTTAATATTTTCTATTAATTTTTTTATTTTAATTAATTTTAATTTTTTCATGATCACGATTGTTATTTTTCTTGTTTCTTTTTCCATTTTCGTAATTTTGATTTTCACTGAGTAATATGATTTTTCCATTTTCATAATTTTGATTTTCATTGATTAAAATTTCTATTTTCATAATTAAGACTTTAAGTAACTTGTTCCATTTTCATAATGACTTTTTTTACACTTAATAGTAGGGATTTTAGTAATATAAATTATAAACAGTTAAAGATAGGGTTCAGTTAGGTGCTAGGAGTAGGAATTTGAGTAATTTCAATGTAAAAGATAGGGCTAGGTGCTAGGAGTAGAATTAAAGATAGGGCTCAGTTAGGTGCTAGGTGCTAGGAGTAGAATTAAAGATAGGGCTCAGTTAGATGCTAGGATGCTTTAGGGCCAAGTACCGTCGCTCCTCTTCTGACCTGTTACCTTGACTGTTATGATAAAGATGTTCCAGGGTATGCTTATCCTACACAACACTAGCTTTCATGTGATATCCTCATTTCTGATTACTTCCCCACTAGCAGTAAGGTTCAGACTGCAGGAAGGACATGCTGATGATTTAAGACTGATGTGATCCAATAGAACTTAATTTGGTGGCAGGGTATGCTTATCCTACACAACACTAGCTTTCATGTGATAAACTCATTTCTGATTACCTCCTCCACCAGCAGTAAGGTTCAGACTGCAGGAAGGACATGCTGATGATTTAAGACTGATGTGATCCAATAGAACTTAATTTGGTGGCAGGGTATGCTTACTATACCTCCTCTCCTTTCCTACCTCCATTTTCATCAAGGCTGTAGAAAGAGCATGCTGACGCTCAATATTTGATGGTGTTGCAGGGTATGCTTACTCTGAATAAACACTGTGCCCCACCCTAGCCCCCCTCCCTTATTTAAGTAATCATATATATTGTTACTAATTAAATTTTTTTAGTTGTAGGTACAAGAAACAACTTTAAATGAATAATAAATAAAATTTTTTTATATTGTTTTTTTCTTTTCATTTTTCTCCTATTCGTTTTCCTGGTCGTTTCAATGTTAGGTTTTGTGTTTTCGGTCCTATATTTCACCTGCTCGGTACACGGTGTACTGATCCCTTTCATTCTATTTTTAGGTAACGGATGGAAATGGTAACCAACGACAACCAAACCAACAACAACCAAACTAAACCAAACCAACGACAACCAAACCAAACCAAACCAGAGAAGTTAAGTCAATCTCGTTTTTACAGATATACTTCATAGTTTAATAGCTCAGATGTAGCAAATCTTGCTGCCTCCCCTACTCATATCTCTCACGAGTTAGCTTTGTGTTAGGTTTCCGTTAGGTTTCATGTTAGGTTAAATATGATGATTCGTTTAGGGATTGCCGGCCAGCAACATAATAATTCGTTTTACTTGTGTTCTGATTAATATAGGGCTATGATAGGGACTACGATACGGGCGTTTGAGATTCGAGTATGGGACTAAGCAAGATTCAAAATTTAAATATATCCCCCCGGATATTTTTAGTTATATCTGTTTGAGATATTTTGGTCCGACTTGACTGGAAAGATGAGATGTGTGTAGAGAAGATGAGATGTGAAAAATAAGATGTCTACTGTGTTTCCATATTTTGTATTATAAGATATAATGTGACTATTACATTAATGTTATTGAGATTTTACTGGCTATTAACTATGACTTTGATATGAATTTCAGAAAACATCCCCTGAATTCAATCAATGGTTTAGATATTGAGAAGCTACGAGATCTACGCTATGGCTACCAGAAACCAGGCTTATCCGTAGGGTGTTGTGGTAAATAAAGATTTTTTTCAATTGTCCATAACCATGTATAACTATGCTCACCCTTTTGTGCTACACACAATCTCACCTTCGAATCTCAACGTTCTGAGATTCTGTGTTGGGGGAATGTTAGGTTTGCTAAGGTTAGGATTTGTGTAGGGCTCACGTGGGTTTTGATTAGGTTCGTGTTAGGGGTTGTAGGGACTAAACTTGCTTGTGTTAAGGTGATGTTAGGCTTGTCTTGCTGGTTAAGTTCGTATGATCGAGATTTGTTGGCCAACAAATCATAGAGGTACTGTAGGGCCAAGAGGTGTGGGATTGTACCTTGATTAGTAATGAAAGGGCTTGCATGTTAAACATGTATATGAATACATTGCAAAAAAAATCATTATGCGGCATGACATCACTATGTATTTCTATATACGTCCGAGTATAGCTTCCGAGGTGCTTTCGCATTAGGTCGGACACAGGTTTCCATTGATGTCCGAGACTCATCTATGGTTTTCCTGTCTGGCAAAGTCACTGTGGACGGAAGATTAACATGTCATAGTTAAAAAAATCTCTTTATATGTAATAGTATTGTATATGTATTGTAATGTATATGTATTGTATATGTAATAGTATTGTATATGTATTGTAATGTATATGTATTGTATATGTAATAGTATTGTATAATTATATATTGTAACACCTTGTTTTTAGTTTACATAATAATAATTTTTAGAGAGCACACTGGTCTCAATTGCTAGTGAAAATTGCAAGACAGGTTATCCAAAGAATTCTCCCCTACTTTGACTTCAACAACACCTAAAAGAAAAACGATGAAATGAAATGGAGGGAGCTTTACGTGCTACCTTTCTGCACCTTTAATACTCTATAGAGAGGAAACGGTTGTGATGGGCTGATTGTTTATGCTAGAAAAGTGTTAAAATTACCAAGGAAACAAATAATATCGGAAAAAGAAACGAAATTGTCATTTAATACATTATCATGCAATAGACGTCAAAATATTTCAAAACACGTCAATCAAAAATGTCAATACCTTTCCAGCACATACGTCAAAACATGTCAATCAAAATATAACATCTGTCCGTCAAATTAATCTTAACATGTCTATGAAAACGCCCAGATAATTTTCATTAGTTATTATCTGGAAACCTTATTGTCTGCCAAGTTGATCTCGACCTCCTTCTCTTGTATTGTGATATTTGAAATATTTTACAAGGGCAGCAAGTTCTACAAAACACTTGTTTCCGAGACAGCTCCTTCGTTTGTAAAAAGTATAGCATTAAAGTGGAGGGAATCGACGATTTCTCCTACTGTTCGAAATCAGACGTTTTGACCCACTAAGAACCACATTCTTTTGAGACCTGTTAGTCGGGCACATCTTGTTTTTGACCAATCAAATCCATGCACGTGCGGATCCGATTTATCTAAATAGGTTTAAAACCCCCACACCTGCTGAGTTTCGGAATTGTCCCATTCTACAGCGCCTATTTTTTCTGTTTCTACACCAGCAGACATCTATCCAAATAGCTATCAGAGGCTGGTATAGAGACAGATGTTTCGGTGTAAATCCTAACCATCTTTCCTCTTGCAGTACTGAACACATCTTCAAAATGATTATTTGAAGGCGTTCGTAGTTTTGCAAAATATATTCAGAAATAATTTTTTTCCTTGTAGGTGTGTCTTTAAGGCCTTCGTACTTTCGTAATTGCAAAGATGTACAGAAAATAATTATTATTCGTATGAATAACTAGTTTTCTTACAATTATGTTGATTATAAACTGTTCTGTATCTTAAACTAAGTCCACTAATCAAGTTTAGCCACTGTTAACTGAGTTTTTCTCAAATTTTTGCTTGATAATCAAGCTCTCAGTGAACGATACAGGTATATGAATAATTGACTGTCATGTCTAACAAACAATGAATGAAACAGCATAACCACTGGGACTGATAAAATATAAGAGAGTAGATTAGGTCTAGAGGGAATGCTAATAAACTCATAAATGAAATTAGCCATTGGAATATTTCATCCACTATGATACAGGCTATTGTTTTTTCTGTTGTGTAATACATAATAATACGACAGTTCGTTTGGGGCATATCTAGTAATACTGTGGTTCGTTTTGGACATATTTAGTTTAACGGTGGTTCGTTTAGGGCACATTTAGTCATACATAGTGTTTAGTTCAGTTCGTTCAGGACATGTAGTTATACTGTAACAGTGGTTCCAGTGGGGTTTCTTCGGAGGGAAAAGGTGGTTCAGAACATAATATTTAGTACTACTGTGGCCAAATGAAAAAGACAAGTTATGACGACAGTTCAGATTTGTCAAGTTGTGGGTTGGAATAGATTCTTAACCAATAACGTTTAAGATTTTAACCACTGAGTTAAAATTCAATACACCTATTGGTGATAATTGGTCTAATCAATCGACACGTTCAAAATCATTTAGTCACAGTTTCTTCGGAATTACTCATATCTAAGTGAACTCGTGAAAAATAATTCCTGATTGTAAAGTCGATATTTTTTATTAACGATTCAATTGTCGTTCGTTTGCAACTTCCTAAAATACTAATTTCTGAAAATATTTTGTTCTTGAGATATAAGGCATAAAGTACTATTTGATTTCTCAGCTGAGTGCGAGTTGATATTCGTAAAATTTTATTGAAAGTCACGATTGACCATCATAGTAATTACAAGGCTTGGGACATGACTAATCATAGTTTGGATTAACCAGACTGGTAATGACATCATCGTGAAGTAATCGGGACTCTCCATAAGAACAAATCGCGAAATTACGTGTCAGATCATGTTTAGGCGGCAATAATCTATTTAAAAAAAAAAGACCCATTGGATTAAAGGTAGACTACCTCTGAGGATGTCCCAAAAATTTGAGATTTCTAATATATATCGCCTTATATAGAAATTCTATTCTTTAGTGACGACATCTAGAAAGTCCAACTGATGAATATAATACACTCGTTGACCAAGTTTGAGACTTTAAATTGTATGTCTATTCTAAGACGAAGTATTCCTGTACGTTAAATTTCAAAACGGGCCTTTAAAGGGAATAACAGCTTAATTGACTGAAACGCAGGAAGTACTCGTCTACGTATTGCTAACTGGTAGCGATAAATTTAAGCTTTCCTTACCAAAAGACCAATTGAACAATAATTTAAGTTTCTAGGCTGAAGGTGTCATTTCCCCCATGTATATGTTATTGATATTATGACGTCATTTATACTTACTGCATCGGGTACATAATTGATTGTTGCCAGTTTCCCTGACATGTTGAAATTAAATTGTAGACGAACTAGTTTTCGGATATATATAAGGAAAACCAACACTAGCATCTGATAAAGCAAACATTTACAAGGAAAAATTTACAAGGTTAAATCCCTTAACCATACTTTATTCTGAGTTTCTCCACTATACGAGTCAATGTATAATTTTACATAATATGATATGAAAATATGATATCGGTTTAAATTATATTCCGAGTTCTATGTTTTTTGAATTAGGAATGATAATTATATAATATCTAGTAATATTAGAGAATAATAAAGTAATAATGTATAATAACTAGCTATCATTATTGTTGTTTGTACTTCAATATTTTTATCTGTTATTATCACCAGTTCATCTTTTATTCATTATTATTCTACAAAACAACTTGTAATGTGGTCATAATTACGGCTCTTATTTCTCGCTTTACACAAGTTATGCACGATAGAGGCGTAGGGTAAGGGGGGGGGGGGGCATACTTGGTTGTTAGACGATGAATGAACGCCCGCCTCCAGAAGAAGTTGAAGTTGGTATTCATGATAATTTGTAGTTGGATCTGGATCAATTGGATGGTTCGGAGACCGGCACCAAGACAATATAAGTAATATATCCAGAGGGACAATGGTTTATATTGTTTGGTAGCAGTAATGGAATTGGTCAGTTGTCACAATTTTATCATGTAGGCAATCCATTTCAGTATTGGGGGGGGGGGGGGGGGGGGTATTATTTTTGGATGGTAGATATTAGTTGGTTAGATTAGATGGTATCGATTGTGGGA